CACAGTTTCCATAGATAGTTTGGTCTCATACTTTCTACAATTTTGCCTTCAGAGCTTCAATATTGTGGTGTAGAGTAGAATATCCCTCACTCTGAAGAACTGCCCACAAACAATAGTCAAGAGTGTTGATATCTGGTGATGAGGGAGGCTATTCATCCTTGCTGATGAAGGCAGGACAATTGTCTCTGCACCACTGCTGTGTTACATGAGTAGTATGGATTGTTTCTCTGTCTTTTTTTTCACTGTTTATCATTATAAGTGGAATTGTACCACAGCTTGAGTGCAACTTCCAAGATTATATAGAGGTCATCTTCAACAAGGAAGTGTACGTACAAATCTTTGTTGATCTTTACCCCTTGAGGCACGAAAAGCTGAGGAGACTTTCCTCTTTCTGAAATGGTTGCCCAGACCATAACTGGCATTTTCCTGAAGCAACAGAAACTGACTTTTGATAAAACATTCTATTGATTCTAAGTTGTTTTCCTGCTTTAAAAATCTCAGGTAGAGTCAGTTTGTTTTAATGTTTCCCAATAATATAATTTCTTTTAACTTCTATAGACATTATTACCAGTAAATACTAAAACACTTTGAAAAATAAATAGTATATGTTGGTGGGCAAATATCAAACCAAAAACAATGTAATGACCAAATATTTAAAAGTAGAATTCATTTGAAATTTTGTAACAACATTTATGTCACACCTTATACTTAATATCAGGGAGTTAAAATTTCTTGGTCAGATAATGAGGAAAGAAGACTCGGAAAATTTGTTACTCAGAGGACAGATTAAAAGCAAGAAGAACAGAGGAAAACAACACATAACCTACCTAGCAAGCTTGAGTAAATGGACAGCAGAACACAATTTAGGAGGGATAACAAAAAGACATTTATTAATAGTTACAAAAGACAGGAAATTGTGGAGAGCCATGATCACCAACATCCTTAAGAGACATGGGATATAAAAGAAGGAGAAAGCAATTAAATATGGGGTGCTGAAAGAATAATAATAAAAAGGACTCAAATCTGACTGATACAAATTTTAGCAGGGACCATAGTACTTGACTTGTATCAATAAAAACCTTGTTTATAAAACTTAAACCAGTGGTTCCTAAACTTTTTTTCTCTGGGTGGTATTGTTGGAATTAAAATTTGTTCACACCTCACCAAATTTTATAAATAAAACAGAGAGAGAGAGAGAGAGAGAGAGAGAGAGAGAGAGAGAGAGAGAGGTTAAAAGGGAGATAACCACAGATTTGAAGTTAGAACATTATTAGTGATAACTCTCTCCTCCAATTTGCAAACCCTAGTTACTATATTCTTATTACTTCATATAATGCAAAATTATCACAATGCTAAAATCAGTCAATAATTATTTATAACAATGTATGCTGGGACTCATGCATACAATTACAAGTAACCCATAGTAAGATTTTAAATTTTGAAACCTTTTATTTTTGGCATATGAATTTTTTAAAGCTGTTTCTAAATTTTTGATTGTTTTTCAATCATTCCGCTTCACCTTCTATCCTCTTCCACTGCAACTATGAGACACGACATACCATTTGGAAACCACTGAATTAAACCAATATGAAGACTGAAAAAGGAAATTTAATTACATTTAGACTTCTATGTGCTCAGGACATTGGTGATCATGGCTCACTAGAATTTCCTGTCCTTTGTAGCTCTTAGCGTTAAAAAGAAATCAGAACCACATAATCTGTTTACCTGTTCAGAGCTGATTATAGCCATTCCTTCACTAAACAACTGACGAAGGACTGTTGTATTGCCATAGAGACTTGCAATTCTCCTCTGATTTTCAACCATTACAAAAGCATGTTTGCCCATTACAACTGGGAAACCCATCAAGTCAGGGAACCGATAATGTAGGCATCTGAAATTAAATTCAGCATTTTAATCATATGTTTAAAAAAGATTAATAAATTTTGTTTTTAATTCAATGTCATTTCTTTTTTTTCTGCAAATTACATCTAGCGGCCTATGTATTTGGGAGTCTTAATAAAAAAAATTGTGCTCTCTGGCAGGATATGAATCTGCATCCCTCTTTATAGAGGAACCCATTACCTGACCAGCATGCTCTCTCTGGGCATGTAGTCTGAAGAATGCCAGATCAGATGGTGGTTTTCCTTTAAAAAAAAAAAAAAAAAGATGCAGACTTGAAACCCAATAGAAGGCAAACTTTATTCAGTCTCAAATTCACAGACCAGAAAGCAGGGAATCTGCCCAAATATGGGTATTCACTAAAATAATATTTAGAGTATGTATCTCCAATAATTGACTAAAAAAAAGACAATAGCATGATGAAAAAAGGTCTAAAACTTCATAAAAATAAAGTTTTAAATTAAAATTTTATTATTAAGAGGAAAGACCAAAGTATATTTGATTATTTTATTAAATTTTTTAATCCTTTCTAGCACGTTCAAAATTTTGGTAAATGATGTTGTTTTTCTTGTGACAGAGGATGGGCCAAAGATTAGTACAGGGATCTTTAGCATCTTTTTTTGGTGTTAAAAACACATTGTTTTGGAAATTATTGCAAAATTTTTTTTAAACATTAAAGTAAATTTAATCACATCACCCTAATAACTCACAATCTGTAAATTAAAGCCAAAATTTCTAAAATTCAATAAAATATTAGATTACAAAGAATATTTTCCTAAATTTTTAAGATTACTGAGTACTTCAGAATTATATAAAAAAGGTGCTCACATCATTTGCTCACATCAATTGTGATTTGCAGATAAAATTTCCATAGAACAATATTAGACTTGGCATCACCGTGCCAAATATAAACACACCTACTGTCTGGTTAAAAAATGCATTTCTGTGATATTTTAGACTTAAAGTAATTAATATTTGTTTCAAATCAAATTAATTATACTTTAAATCAGCTAATATTCTTCAAATATAATTTCAGAAAAGTATATTTTATTTTTGGAAGATTTTTTTAATAAAGAGAATTACATTACAATGAAAGACGACTAAAAAAAATGTAGCTAATCAGCTAGCAAAAAAAATTCTTTACAGTCAATTTAAATCAGCTTTTTTTTCCAATAAACAAAGTATTTTGCGTCTGTCTACATTTCTGAGATGAGGTATTATGTATATTATTTACATTATTTGAACTATTGTCCTCATCTTTGTCACCTAAAGGACACATGGCACAGTGGATAAAGGCATTGGTTAGATCCAGTGACAGGACCCAAAGAATGTGAGTTCAATACCCAGTTAAGACAGTGGAGAACAGTGGAAATTAGCAGGAGATAACTGATAACTGACATCCATCAAACATGGTACATGGAACTAGAACAGTCTACCCCAGTGAGCATAATAAAGGGTTCAGTTCGAAATTCCAACCACCTGAAGAAGGCTGGAGCATACAACAGCCGAAACGTGATAAATATGGCGACAAAGATGAGGACAATAGTCCGAATAATGTAAATAAAGTATTTTGCTTATTGGAAATATCATGTTTATTCTATTAACTTGAAATTAAAACTAAGCTAAAAGCTTCAAGAAAGATTTTTCATTTTTAAAAATTCATTTCAGCCCTGAGGTACCACATGTTTTGCAGAGGTTCCTAATAATAATGAATCCTGTGTTTATGGAATTAAATTTGAATCAGTTATAGAAGATCATATGTTCAAAGTTTGGGGCATTTCTATTGACAAGATAACATTAACTTGTTCTCTTTTGAGAGATTAGAGTTCATCAAAGGCCACAGCATTTTAAGTTCTTCTTGATAATTAACTGCTTTTCTTATTGTATTTAAGAACTAAAGTTAAAGGAAGGAAGCCAGAGTAATAAAGAGTAATAAAGCAAGTGGAAGAATCAGCTCACATGCTAAACTCTGATAACCTGCTCAGAAGACCCAGCATAGAATTGAGCACCCTGAACAGTGATTAAGTTTAAGACTCCAAAATTACACAACTTGATTGCTCAAGAGAACAATCAATACAACCATTGTTTTTGTGTTTACTCTAAATTCACTTCTTTGGTGCGACAGGAAAATATAGTGATTCATATACTGTAGTTTGGAGTATTGAAGATTACACATGTAGTCAACACAGTACTATTTACACTATTTACATGCGGACTATTATCTTCATCTTTGTTGTTGTTATCACAATGTTTCAGACATTATGCCCTCCAGTCTACATCATGTGTATATTGATCTGAACAACACTTTAGAATGAATATTACCAAGTAAATAATCCCTAATAATAATAATGGCATAGTTTTAACAATTACAATGATATCCAACCTGTACAAGGCTCCAGAGCCACCCAAGATGGAGGGTTAGAGTATAATGCACCACACCAAGCAAAGCAATAATGCCACTAAAATGCAAGGGGCCACCAGAATTGAAAAGAAAAAAGGCTTTAGAAGGAACTGGAAACCTAATCATAAACAGGAAACAAGGGATAGACCTCTACTCCTGTTCAAAAGACTAGATAGGTGTGTGAACCAGGCAATAGGTGAACCTATCTACTCCTATTAAGGAAAAATAAATAAATAGTAAATAAAATTTCAGTTTAGGTGGAGATGTTGGAAGTATAGAGTATGTAGACATTAGAAGAAAGTGGGAACCCAATCCTAAACAGGAAACAAGGGATAAACCTCTTCTCCTGTTCAAAAGGCTGAAGGAGTGTGATCCAGGGTATAGGTGAACCTATATACTTTTTATTAGGTAAATGCAAAGAGACAGCATTTTGAACAAGTATGACACAAGGCAACAGTTAAATTGTGAATCGCAAACATACATATAATCGGTAGCAAATTGCTTACTTCTCTCAGGAATCTTTTTTGGAATACCTCAAGCACTGACCCTGACTCCTCCCAAGAGGAAGAGGTGCCGCCTGCAGTGAGAGGAATGGTCACTGGACCTGAGATTACTGATCTTTGAATCAAACCCAACCACAAATGGTTATAGCAGATTTCAAAGATGCTTATATACTAAGTGTAGTTTAAGTATAGAGCACCCAAAATACTAGTCCCCATAAGATCTCCAAAGTTAAGCAACATTGAACCTTGTCAATACCTAGATGGGTGACTGCTTGTGAATACCAGGTGCTGTAAATTTGGATGTACAGGAGATGTAATGAATAATGGCTCGGAATTGTTGATCAGAGAGCTGAATTCCAATTCCCATTGGCTTTGTTATATTCATTTACATGTAAATACCCCTGGGAAAGGGGTATGTATCCACCTATATGGATTAATTAGTAACATTTGTATCACTAAACCATTATTAAAAAGAAAAAATAAAGAAAAAAAATTCTTACCATCCAAAAATATTTTCTGGCTTTAAATAATCTGCAAAGGGTTGATAATCCATAAAAAATGAATCAATGAAATACTGATTATCTACACTGGCATGTCTTAGATTTATTTACAATCTCTGGTATATAAATGTATAGAAACTACCGTGATCGCAAAGTGAGGGATCATTTTATATATTGATTGTAATATGGAATGGATCCCCCAATTTATATCCATCTTATAATTTCTTGTTTATCAAATTCTGATTAGGCATGAATCCACCCTTCCTTTGCCCTGCTATATGTTAGTAAGACATATCACTAAATCATTATTATCTACTAAAAAATATTCTTATCTAAAAATATTTGCTGGCTTCAAATAACCTACAAATGGTTGATAAGCCATAAAAAAATGAATTAATCAATCCTTTCTTTAAATCTCAGGATGTTTCACAGATGTATTATGAGGGGAGCATTGTTTAAATTTTATTTGGTAGACACATGCCTTTGATGTAAAATTAGCTCTCTGTTTTACATTGATTAAAAGTTTCTAACTTTATTTTTTAAATGTTTGTGATTGAGATTTAGTAAATTTCTTTCAAGTTCCTTAGTTTCATGGATTTTGAAAGAAAATAAAAAATCTTGTCTTTTCATTTCCTGATGTGCCACTTTTACAAAGAAATAAACTCTATATAGTAATGTTATAAAATAAGACATATCTCGGCTGATTTACAGAGCGAGAGCCGGATGTTAACAGGACAAAACCCCATCACAAAATGACCATTATCTTCATTTACAAATGTTCCCGACACATGTGTTCCGGTCGAAAAATAATATTTAAAGTGTTCTATTTTTCGTCCAATAAAAATGCTTCCCTCCTAATTATACTCACTTCGTTTTTAGAGCCTGTTAAGCCATAAAAAAAAACACTATAAAAGGGGTCACATGGAAGTTCAACAGGCAGTCTACAGGTGCCCAGGGTAGAGACCTGTCACAGTCAGCTGCTGACAGCAGAGGAGCATCAACCACCGTCAACATGTGTGAACTACTATGAGAGATCGACCTAGATCCGAAGCCGGCTTATGAACTTTACCACAAGGTAGCTGTCCCAAACCCACACGTTCCTGTTGAAATAAACCACGTAAATCTATTTCTGCTGTTGTCATATTTCTTTCTTGCAACCATACGCTTATCTATAACAGTAATCAACATGGGAACAAATTCTTTTGGAAGATACAATAAGAATATATTTCTATAGCAAGCAAATTCATCACCTTTTCAAATCATTTAAGACGTCTTTATTTTACTTTGACATAACAATTTGTCCAATTACTTACGGTACATTTTTTGTGAGGACACATTGTCTTGTGATTCTGTCCTGCAGAAGGGTGGCTTCATAATATTGTTGAGGTATAAGAACAAGATAATCCTATAAAGAAGAATTTGAGAAAACAAAACAATTAACAAAAAGAGTTTCATAAAAGAGAGTCATCATACAAAAGTGTTGGACAATTGAATCAAGAAAAAGCGTTGGACAATAGAGTTAAGTAAAAGCATTTGACAATAGAATCGAGAACGAGGTGTTTGACAATAGAATTAAGAAAAGTGATGTAAGAACAATACAAAAAAGCATTTGAGAATAGAATTGAGGTGTTTGAGGATAGAATCAAGAAAAAGCATTTGAAAATACAAGCAAGAAAAAGTGTTTCATAATAGAATCAAAACAAAGCATTTGACAATAGAGTTGTGAAAAAGCATTTGACAATAGAGTTGTGAAAAAGCATTTGAGAACAGAATCGAAAATGAGTGTTTGACAAGAGAATCGGGAAAGAGTGCTTGACAAGAGTATCGGGAAAGAGTGTTTGACAAGAGAAACGGGAAAGAGTGCTTGACAAGAGTATCGGGAAAGAGTGCTTGACAAGAGTATCGGAAAGAGGTTTGAAAGAGAAACGGAAAGAGGCTTGACAAGAGTATCGGGAAAGAGTGCTTGACAAGAGAATCGGAAAGAGTGCTTGACAAGAGTATCGGGAAAGATTGCTTGACAAGAGTATCGGGAAAGAGTGCTTGACAAGAGAATAGGGAAAGAGTGTTTGACAAGAGTATCGGGAAAGAGTGTTTGACAAGAGATCGGGAAAGAGGTTTGACAAGAGAAACGGAAAGAGTGTTTGACAAGAGAAACGGAAAGAGGCTTGACAAGAGTATCGGGAAAAAGTGCTTGACAAGAGTATCGAAAGAGTGCTTGACAAGAGTATCGAAAGAGGTTTGACAAGAGAAACGGGAAAGAGTGCTTGACAAGAGTATCGGGAAAGAGTGCTTGACAAGAGTATCGGGAAAGAGTGCTTGACAAGAGAATCGGGAAAGAGTGCTTGACAAGAGTATCGGGAAAGAGTGTTTGACAAGAGAAACGGGAAAGAGTGCTTGACAAGAGTATCGGGAAAGAGTGCTTGACAAGAGAATCGGGAAAGAGTGTTTGACAAGAGTATCGGGAAAGAGTGCTTGACAAGAGAATCGGGAAAGAGTGCTTGACAAGAGTATCGGGAAAGAGTGCTTGACAAGAGAATCGGGAAAGAGTGTTTGACAAGAGTATCGGGAAAGAGTGCTTGACAAGAGAATCGGGAAAGAGTGCTTGACAAGAGTATCGAGAAAGAGTGTTTGACAAGAGAATCGAGAAAGAGTGCTTGACAAGAGTATCGGGAAAGAGTGTTTGACAAGAGAAACGGGAAAGAGCGCTTGACAAGAGTATCGGGAAAGAGTGCTTGACAAGAGAATCAAGAAATGGCATTTGACAACAGAATCGAGAAAAGGCATTCGACAATGGAATCAAGAAAAGGCATTCGACAACGGAATCGAGAAAATGTATTTGACATTTCTGACTAGGTATGGAACATAACATTTTCAAAATATTCCAAAAATGCCAGATGACCATTCACACCAGCATTGAAAAACTGAATGCACACCACACACACACACACACACACACCTACTGCCCCACCCCTATTAACAATTACAAATTTCACTTACCAAAAGTAATTCATCTGGCAACATATCACCTGGTACTTTGATGGAGAGAGTCCATTTACCTGGGTTGAGTACAAAAGTAGAACTGACATCAGCCACTTTCGTGAATGATGGTTCATTGGTTGGCTTAAAGATAATGGTTGCCTCTTGTTCTGTATCAACCACAATTCTAGGTGTAAATGTGAGTTTGCCTTTTATTTCTTTGTCTCCTTTATTGTGGTAACGAATTAACAGGCGATATAGAGCAGGCTTGTGGATTTTAGTTCGGATCAGAATTTCAGGCTTGAAATACAGAAAAAAGTCTTAAATTAACAAAAAATCATTTTTGAGGGTGGGAGGTCAATAACAAAAAAGGAAAAAATTTAATAAAGTCTATAAGCTATATTTAAAAAAATAAAACGAATGAAAAAATAAAACAAATGAAAAAAATAAAAGAAAAAACTGAATATGTGAAAAAGTAACTAAAAGAAAATATTGAAAAAAGTAAAATATTGAAAAAAAAACAAGAAATGAGTAAAAAAAATAACTAAAAAAGATGAGAAAAAATTAAAAAAGATGAGTAAAAAAAACTAATAATGAGTAAAAAAAAAAATGAGAAAAAAATTAAAGATTAGTAAAAAAAATAATAATGAGTAAAAAAATGAGAAAAAAATTAAAGATTAGTAAAAAAAACTAATAATGAGTAAAAAAAAAGATGAGAAAAAAATTAAAGATTAGTAAAAAAACTAATAATGAGTAAAAAAAATGAGAAAAAACTAAAGATTAGTAAAAAAACTAATAATGAGTAAAAAAAAAAGATGAGAAAAAAATTAAAGAATAATATAAAAAAGCTATAAGAATAAAAAAGATGAGTAAAAAAAACAGATGGGTAAGAAAAAGTTAAAAAAAATGAGAGAAAAAATAAACTAAAAATGATGAGTAAAAAAAATTAACTAAATGTTATTGTCCCCAGGAGGGAAAATTTGCTGACTACTTGTCAGTGATGAAGAGTGTATATTGAGTGAGAGAAGCTCTCCTATGTTAGCACTGCAGGCAAATACCCTACATAGCAAAGATTCTTACTTAAGAATTTTGGAGGGAGAAACTCCGTTTTTACCAGTAAATCTTCTAATTGTTGATTTGTTAATTTACAGGCCAATGAAAAGGCATCACCACATCCTGCTTCTTTTTTGTTTTTTTGTTGTTTTTTTTTTTTTTGTGGGACCTGTAATTGTCAACTGACCCTATCAAATATATTGTATTTCAGAAATACATTATATTTCCAACAACTTGTGGAGCTGGTTATTAGATTTTTTTTCTTAATCCTTAACCCTAAATTATTCTCATCTATTTTACACACACACTGTTACAATAACACAGGATGTAAAAATCTCATTAAAAAGATATTTCTATACCTGTTTTACACAAAAGACAAAATCTTACCTGTGTTATGATAAAAAAAAAAATTGAGACAAACCAAACTTACCTGTTTCTCAGACATGATGGCATAACCCTTTGAAGAGAATTGAGGGAATTCAATTTCTGAAAAAGCAAAATAAGTCTTGCCACCTCCAGGCCTGTAGCCATCTTCAATCTCATATTGGTGTTGATGAAGTGTAGGAAAGTAATAAGTCTTTATTGGCCTAGAATAAGAAAAAAAAAATGCAATAGGCTTTAAGCAGTTTTAATATTGTATTTTTAAATAATTTACTGACTTTAAAAATGGACATTCTAAGAAGTATATATTCACATAATATAATAAGTATATATTCACATAATATAATAAGAAGTATATATTCACGTAATTTAATAAGAAGTAT